GATGGAGATTTACTGCTGATTACAGAACTGGCTTTACTGTTAAGATGTGCATTAAATATTGCATGCGATTTATTGTGCAGCCCTACTGTGCACTCATTTACGCCCTTGAAAAATGCAATATTGAGCTCCCCACCCCCCAGTGGCTGATTTCTGCAAATTTCTCTCAGACCTTTGATGACGCGAGTCTAACAGGCCATCCGAGTTTCGTTCCAATCGGCCTCCATTAACCTTGTCTAACAAGTGCTCAAACTTTGTCGGCCAATGGAGGCCATGATTTTTGAGATACGCAAATGTCCTTGTAGACACTTGTGGCACTTTGGACCAAGACCATGCACACCGATTTTCATGTTGATAGGACAAATGGTTGCACAGTTATAGCCATTTTTCCCTCTTATTGCGCCAACAAGTGGCCAAGTTCCATGATTTTTTTAACTGTGACCTTTGTGTTTGATGTCCTGAAGCTCGATCGCGGCTGCGGTTAAATGAACTTGCATCTCCGAACACTTTTATACGAAATTGATGTAAACACAGTCAGTTATGTTTTCAGAACCGGACAAAATATCTGATATATCGAAATAGAAATGTGCATTAGTGTGAATCAGTGTAAATGCAAGCCTGTTAAAGCTGCCACTGTCTGTGATCTCATCAGTAATTATCAAACAGCAATAATGCTGAGGGAAAAAAGAAAAACCCATAACTATGATTGTCTGTAAACTTTCGGATAGCCTACTTGAAGAACACTTATTTTTAAATAAGTAATTATTTTAAAAAGTAGCCTGCTTATAATTTAATAAAAATAAAAAAAAAAGTAAAACTTGCACAAAATAAATTTGATATACAATTTATATGAAAATATAGCCATGTGCAGTAATATTGAAAATTGAGAATGTGATGTATCGTGATATTGAGTTAAATCGAATCGTTTACATGATAATCGTAATTGAATTGAATCGTGAAACCAATGAAGATTCACACCCCTATTTTTAAGATGGCAGTACTGACTTACAGAGATTCCAACTATAAACAAAAAAACATAGAAACTGCAATTTTGGTTAAAATGTAAAGTTGTAAAGATGTATTTGCACAGGAGAAGAATTCATTAGGAAAAAATGTAGATCAAGAATCGTTTTGGAATTGGATTGTGACTCCCAGAATCGGAATCGGATCAGATCGTGAAGTGCCTAAAGATTTTCACCCTTAGTCGAAAGTTCAACTTTTTTTGATAATTATTGATATTCACTCTCCAGAGTATCTTTCTGCACTGGTTTGGTTCCGATCGGGCTAAAAACCTAAGACTAGTTCGCAAAAGTAGGTTTTTCAAAAATCTAATGTGTTTTTTGAACATAGATCCCTATATCCCTAAAATTAGTCACATCAGGATAGTCGAGTTGCTAGATCAGCATTGTCATGTCATTTTTCTGCACTTCCAAAGTCATTAGTCATATGACATTCACAGCTCACAGTGATTGGTTCATAATATTCGGACTGCAGAACTGAGCACCCTTGACTCCAGCTGACCAACTACCATTGAAATGTGAGTGAATGGTAAAGGCCCCTGTATAGTCATGACAAAATCCTTTTTTGTTCTTTGCTTTGGGGTAAAAAAAAAAGATTATTGCTATGTTTTTTTTTTTTACCCAAGCAACAATATACTGCTTGAGAACATATCAACAACGCCCACCCCGTTGAGAGCGGCGTTTAGATGAATATGTAAATATGTGCTGCGTACATATTTAACACACAACAGAAATGTCAGTGTTGATAAAATGGTTAAGAAAGCATCTGATCATAGCGATGTGCATATATTTGCACCAGATCTCCAATTTGGCACTCAAGTCAAGTCGCATCATGTTTATTTATATACAATAGACTGCTTTTGCAGTATTACACATTAAAAGTGTCATTTTCAATTAGAATTACAACTTCAATTTCTACTATAAAGCAGATTTCCAGCGTGTTCATTTTTTTTTTACTGATGTCTGACCTTGACAGACTGAACAGAAGAAATTAACCTGAGAAGATTTCCATATCAACAAAGACTAATTTTAGTTTGAAGTTGCTTACCAGCATGCAAAAGTGAAATTTCTCGAAAGTTTGCTTTGGCAAGTTTTTTTGAACTCTCTAAACAAGCAACAAAAGTTCCTCCCTCATTTTGACCTTTTTTTGTTCAAAAAGAGGTCACATAAATTCTTGCTTCAATTTCGCTTAGTGTATAGGGGCCTTAATTGTTATCTTTCTGCAATTATTATAGACCTCCTTACAATGATGGCGTGTAAAATCAGTGGTAAAACATCCAATTCTACCTTGTGTAGTTAGAAGTTAAGGATGATTGTTAACTCTGTGACATCAATGCTGGTTTTGTTAAACAAGCTATTTTCAGCACTGACCCAATATTAAATGCTTCCTCATTGTCTCTCCTGCAGTTTGTATGTGTGCGTGCTATATTTATGTATGGACTGAAGGTTCCTGATGAATGCACAACCCCTCCACTCCACCTCTCCCAAGGAAATAAAGCGGAAAAAGTAATGATTCCAGGCCTTGAAAATTATTGCACAGCCTGTGGATGGGCTCAGAGATTCCCCTGAGACAGACATACCCTTCTCTATCTGTCTGTCAGCCAGTAGAGTTGGCCAGACCCCTCTCTCTCCCTCTTTATCTCTCTTTCTCTCCCAAGCCTCACTCAGACCTCTAATTAAAACCCCCATCGATTTTTTTCCCTCCTTCTGCCTTCTTTCTGCTCTTCTTTGTCTGTTTATCATGTTTTTAATCGGCCCCTGGACCTGAGCTCGCTGCAGGATTAGACAGTGTCTTTGACCCTAGAGTCAAAAGAGCCAGACAACACCATCCCGACACCTCCGGTCTTACCCAGCCTCGGGTGTCTGCCCTGGGGGAGAGATGAGAAGGGCAGAGGCTTGGCTCTCTCTATCTGACAGCACCTCTGCCCTCTCTAGTTAGGTTCACGCTCCACTTTTGAAAATAGTAGACGCTACACAAAAGTGGAATTTTTACTGTTGTCGGTTTTATAGCAGGCAGTTTTTTTCCTTACTGGAAGTGATTTACTGCGTTGGATTACAGCTATAAGCAACAAAACCTCGTGTTTCAGTGATAATACTGTGGTTAAGGGGAGTTATTTGGCACAACATGGAGTAAAATGCCAAAATTACTACCTAATGAAATCAATGCCATGAGTGGCTTATTTTCTTTACAAAATAGTTGGTTACACTTTATTTTGATGGTCCCTTTAACACATTCTGTTGACTATAAGTAACGTTGCACCTACATATCTACTAGCTCTCAATAGAGTGTTGGTAGAGTATTAGTAGACTGGTAGGACTAGGGTTAGAATAAGTTGTTTTTGCAAAGTTACTGATAGTCAGTAGGATGTCTGTTGGGACACCATCTCAAAAAAGAGTTAGCAGATATTAAAAAGACAGTCTTCTAATACTCTAATGAGAGTTAGTAGACATGTAGGTGCAACGTTACTTAATGTCAACAGAATGTTCAAAAGCGACCATCAAAATAAAGTGTTACCAAATAGTTAATAATATTATTTTGGTAACACTGTACTGTAATAGACCACTTTAGACATTCTGCTGATTATAAATAACTTTGCAGCTACACACTAGTGCTCTCACACTAATTTGCCCTGTTGAATTAATCACTACTTTTTAAACTTTTTTTTAAATAAAAAGGTTATTAATTTACAGTCGCTAATTACTTTGTACTGCATTAAATGGTTAGTTCACCCAAAAATGAAAATTATGTCATTAATTACAGTTGAACCCCTGATGTCACATGGATTATTTTAACGATCTCCTTGCTATGTTTCTGGACCTTGATCGTGTAAGGATCCTTCCTATCGGTGGGAGGGTCAGAGAGCTCTCATGTTTCCATCAAAAATATCTTAATTTGTGTTCTGAAGATGAACGGAGGTCTTACGGGTTTGGAACAACATGAGGGTGAGTAATTTGAACTTGAACTTAATGACAGAATTTTCATTTTTGGGTGAACTATCCCTTTAAAGTCAGTGCTGCCCCCAAGTCTATATGTCATTATGGTCACTATATGATCTCTCCTTCTAATTAAATGTTTTGCTTGATTTGTCATTAACCCAGCCTGATCGTTTAGAACAGTGGTTCTCAACTTTTTTGACTTAAGGTCCCTGTTTGTCTGAGACTAGATTCAAAGACCCTCCTATCTAAGATGATGTACCTCTCTGTTGTAATAAAACATTTTCAGTGTTCTTTTATCATTTAAAATAAGATTATGCTAATATAACTAAATTTAAATAATATTAAGACTTGCTGGGGCCCGCTAAATATCTTAATTTGGGTTCTGAAGATGAACGGAGGTCTTACGGGTTTGGAACAACATGAGGGTGAGTAATTTGAACTTGAACTTAATGACAGAATTTTCATTTTTGGGTGAACTATCCCTTTAAAGTCAGTGCTGCCCCCAAGTCTATATGTCATTATGGTCACTATATGATCTCTCCTTCTAATTAAATGTTTTGCTTGATTTGTCATTAACCCAGCCTGATCGTTTAGAACAGTGGTTCTCAACTTTTTTGACTTAAGGTCCCTGTTTGTCTGAGACTAGATTCAAAGACCCTCCTATCTAAGATGATGTACCTCTCTGTTGTAATAAAACATTTTCAGTGTTCTTTTATCATTTAAAATAAGATTATGCTAATATAACTAAATTTAAATAATATTAAGACTTGCTGGGGCCCGCTTGGAAGTTTGCCGAGGCTCCCTAGTGGGCCCGTGGGCCCTGGTTGAGAACCACTTGTTTATAAACATGAAACACACTTCTCATCAGTATGATCCACTAATAAACAATTCAGGCTGTGTAGAATTCAAATTATGCTTAGTCACAGCAAAATCCGCTAATTTACACACAGCTTTGAATGTGGTGCTTTCAAACTTTTTTTTTCCCCTTCGATATTGATTTTAGATATTTTGAGATTTTAATATAAGACTATATTTTCTTTTTTTCAGGAGCACCAGAATAACACAGTCGGCAGCACGATGCAGAACGCCATGGCTCTCCTCTGCAATCTGATTGGACAGGAGGGCACAGACCTCCGACCATTCTACCAGCAAGGTGCAGTGCATCTGAACTTCGTTCGCTTTGATATATATCGGCCCTCCGGTTTCTAGCCTGTCTCTTGAACCAGAACACACAAACCCACACAGTCTTTTCACCCAGACACTGCCACGCACATGAAAAGGGTCTGCATTCAGAGAGCTGCCCTTGTTTTGTTTTGGAGTGTTTTCATTCCATTACCAGACCCTTATTGCTCTCATCTCGCTGTCTGACTCTCGTGTGTGACTCTGATGGAGGGGGAGGGCATTCAGCTGCCTTTTTTAAGGGCTTCCACCAGATACTGCTGCTTTTATCAGCATGGACTCATGTGTGGCGGCCCTGTAGCCCGCATCTACTTAGTGTCCCACCCATCTAGCCCTCACCTCACCCACTGTCCGGGCTTAGGCATCTAAAAAAGCCTCCCCTCGCCTCCTGTTTTCATCTGTCGCTATCTACCCAGCTACTGGGCAGCCTCTCACTCATTCTCTCATCTGCACAAGTTGCTGTCTGTTACCTCTCTGTTCATGCCCATGCAAGGCTGTTTTTTTCCCCCAGCCTGCCATGTGAATGCCCAGTCTTACCCAGACACTTTCAGCTCTCTGTGCTGAATTATTGAGTAATGGATTCCTATAGCCTTACTCATGTTGACAATTTTGGACCCGCATGCCTGTTTTCGCCACACCATAGGGCGATATGGACACTGAGGTGTGCGTGGGTGTACGTTTGTGTGTGTTTGTTTTTTACAAAAGGAGATGAGTCAGATTCACACACACTCTCCACATTCAACACGCTGTGAAGAGGGGGAACCGTGGAAAAAAGAGCATTGGTTCGCACTTACGTACACATGCGGTTCTAGAGAAGGTGAGATTCACATTGACTGCATTAAGTAACACGATCTTCGAGCACATTATAGGAAGAGAGTGGTAGCTGGAGCTGGTAACCGTGATTTTACCAAGTAAAACATATTTTTGGATCTACATCCTTATTGGTCTTTTAACAAAATGCCTCTCAACCAATACGATTTTAGGATTGGAATTAGGACTACAACTGCATGATTTGATCCAAAGATCATACTATTAATTTTTTGAGAAATATTGTGGTTTGTATTGTAAAACAATACATATTTAAAGAGATGGTCCACCCAAAATGATAATTCTGTCATTTACTCGTCATCATGTTGTTCCATTGAAAGCAAAGAGAATGAAAACGGTTTAGTTACCAACACTCTTCTTGTGTTTAGCAGAAGAAAAGTCAATCATACAGGTTTAGAATGACATTAAGGGTGAGGAAGTGATGACAGTTTTAATTTTTGGGTGGACCATCCATTTAACATCAAAAATGCAAAAAGTTGCGCACATGCCACAAACCCAAATAGGGCTCAGGTGCAGGACAAAAAAGTCAAACTAAAGCAAAAAACAAACGTGACAGGGTTTCCGCGGGTCTTAAAAAGTCTTAAATTATACAAGAAAGTCTTAATTATGATTTCAAGAGGTCTTAAATTTGGGGACGGAAAGACCAGAATTGCGATATGGCTGAATGTGACGATTAAACTTCAAAAGGCTATGATTTCATTGAATAAATACGAGTGCTGCACGTTCAAAGTCCGGTGCTGCACTGCTTTGTGTTCTGCCGTTACTGGGGAAACAGTTATATTTCTACCAAACGCTCCACCTGCTGGCAAAGAATGAATGAACATTTTCAATAAAACTGTTGTTTGTTCAGAGTTCGGACAAATGCGAAAATCGACCATTAAACTTCAAAAGGCTATGATTTCATTGAATAAATACGAGTGCTGCACGTTCAAAGTCCGGTGCTGCACTGCTTTGTGTTCTGCCGTTACTGGGGAAACAGTTATATTTCTACCAAACGCTCCACCTGCTGTCAGAGAATGAATGAGCATTTTCAATAAAACTGTTGTTTTGTTCAGAGTTCAGACCAATGCGAAAATCGACCCATGTTTTTACCCTGCAAACACACAGAGCTTTAAATGTGAACTGGTGGATCGATAAGAAGACAATGCATTATAACAATCTAAACAGTATAGGGGTGTGCGATATGTATGGTCTGCGATAATATCGTAATTGTTGTTTTAAGGATGTGCGATTTGATATTATCGAGTATATCGTGAAAAGCAAACAAAACACCTATAGAATGCACGCATACATTAGATGATGAAGTCTAGCAGGTTAGACTAGTGCACATGCACATTTATAGTGTGTTCTTTCACTGCATTAATCAGTCTATTAAAATGCATTTAGAATTATCACATAGTTCAAGATGGGGCAGAAAATTTATATATTTATATCATTTCATATAGTTAATATCACACGAAGAGTGCCAAAAGTCAGCATGATTACAAATGTGATATTGATTTCTTACAACGGTTCGATAAACAAGTTAATATTAAGAGACTTACATTTTAGACTTCATATTTCCTGCCTTTGCTCTATTTCTTTGACAAAAATAATTTCAAACACAGCCACAGCACTGTTTTGCATCTCTGAGCAACACGACAGTGTTTCCTTTCTGATAAAATCAACCGTTTAAATGATTCGGTTCAATCGCAATGACTTACTTAACAGTGACTTGCTGCCACCTACTGGCAGTTTTAATTTCACATTTAAGGTACCTTTTCATTTTTGAAATAATCTCAAACATCAGTTTTCAATGTTTTATGTTTAAAATATCAAAACATTATTTATGCATTTGTAATTGCAGGTTAAAATATTTAATGTCCCTCAGAGCTGCATTAAACAGTGTAAATACATCTAAATGCCACTTCAGATGCAGCTTCTGTGTTTCATCTGCATTGCAAAGATCAATTTTGTTGATACTGATGTAATTTGCTTGGTAACAGCCCAAATGCAAGAATTTGACTCAAAAGATGGTGCACACTTTTAGGAAAAAAAATGGCTTAAAGGTAAAAATGCCCATAAAACTTGTTGGAAATAATTAATTTCTATCACTGCTGTGAACTGACCACACAGAATATGAAGATTATCAAAAAATTCAGGATTCAGCTGTCAGCACAACTAGAGAAAAGATATCAGCACAATAACACACTCTATAGCAAAATATTGTCTAATTATCGTTATCGATAAAATGAGATATCATTTTTTGTCAATATCGCACACCCCTAATTTATGTTATTTAATTGATATAATAATTTATTGATAATAATTGTTTAAATTAATATAATAATTAATGCTTTTGACTCATCCATTTTCTTAAAAATGGTTTAAAGGCTGAAATGTGAAGTTTATCATTTTATAAAACTTTTTGTTTTTGTGAAAACTTGTATCTGAACTGTAAATTATGCTTTTTACAGTAATTTTACAGTTTAATATGGTACCATAGACATTGTCCTACCCCACTCATATGGTATTAATTTTATTTGTGCAGGTCTTAAAAAGGACTTAAATTTGAGCTTAAAAATCCTGCAGAAACCCTGCGTGATGTCCACACACTGATATAACTTCTCCATAAAATTATTTTATTGCAACGCTTCGACCATCAGGTCGTGCCTGACGAAAGACCTGATGGACGAAACGTTGAAATAAAATAATTATATGGAGCAGTTATATCAGTGTGCAGACATCACGTTTGTTTTCCATCCATTTAATATCTAATTGTAGGGTTGTACAAGCCGTTCGTATGGTCTTAAGGCCTGTTCACTCCAACACAAATGTTCTGCATGTGATTTGTCTGTTCATACCAATGCAAAAAAATGGCATATGGGCTGAGCTAAAGTGCAAATTCACTCTCTGATAGATAGTTGGTGTGTCACTTATGGAAGAGCAGAAATAGAGTGCTACTAAAGGGCAGGGGTGCGCAACTTTCCATTTCTGACACCTCATTGTCATGGTGAAGAAAGGAATGCAAATGGTATTTACATGCTTTCAAAAGCTATTCAGATGGTTGTGTTTGCTGAGGTTTTTATCAGACAACACCAAATACAAGAGTACAGAGAGAGAAGAGCCAGTTCTAGATTATGTCTATTGTAGCTTAGCAAAATGGTCTGTTTCTTAATGTCACAAAGTCATCATTTTGTATAACAGCAGCAGCTCTGGGCATGTTACCAAACACATGGATCTTATTGGTTGGCCTTTTTCACAGTGCAATGGAAAAACACCAAAAAATATATATATTAAAAAATAAATAAATCATAAAAATAAATAAATCTGTCACACTGACAGCATATGAATGTTCATGCTGGTCTGAACAGATGTATTAACAGCTGTTCATTCAAATTAAAGTCGCACCAACTTTTCTTAGTGACTACTAATCAGGTTTGTAACTAACTCTGCACATCATTTGGTTGCAACATTTGTTCTTAAGTCAAGACTAAGCTTGTTGTAAGCAATCTAAATAATATGTACAGTAGTTGTAAAAAATGGCATTTTGATAATATTGAGCAACCTTCAAATTTTCAAAAGCCATATTTTAGTGTATCTGATTACACCCCCCCCCCTCCACAAACACACACACATAACTTTCAACAGAAGAAAAAATTTTATGAAATAAAAATCAGTTAAAGTACATTACACAAAGCAAAAAATAGTGTATTTAAGTACATCTGCCATGTAAAACATCAGCAATTTATGTATTTATTATTCTTTCTTTATTTCTTTCTTATCTTTCTTTCTTTATGGGGGTGAGGGGTATATTCTGGATATTTTATATCTGGATATTCCATTTGTATTTTTCACATAAAGATGTGTTTTTACAAGTCACTTCCTGTCTATCCACTGTAGTGAAGCTTACCGTGAACACACACACACTCACACACACCTCCCAAGCCACCCAGATAAGTAGAGGCCTGTAATGGCTTGTTTTCTGGTAGATCTGTGCACAGCACGCTTCCCCATATCACAACAACCCCTCATGGACCTCTTCTTCTGTCTAAGCGGTCCAGGCTGCTGCAGGCTGGGATCAGACACAACAAACCCTGCCCTCCGCACCTGTTTTTTTTTTACAGCACAGGGTCATCTACAAGCCATCTCATACAGCCAGCA